ATATTTTGATAAAGATTCATTTGTCGTAGCTCAAACTTTGAACGAAATAGATTTCATCTCAAAATTTAATCATTAAGATTCTCAGCAATTCCATACGTTTAAGGTAAACAAATCAAGTAAAACTTCCATAACTTGACAAGCAAAGATTGAAACAAGCTTTTTTTATTATTCATCATGACCAATCAAACGGCAATAGTACCGTCGAGTTCTATAAACTCTCATAAAGTCAATTTAAAATGAAGACTCACAGTCAGGAAGTATCACTCATTGGTATCAATAAAACTATTATTCTTATATTAATGATATTCAACGAAATTTATTGTTCTATCATTTTGATTATAAATTCATCTTTTTCTTAGAATATTTCTCAAGATTTCAATGTCTAACAATAAATTATGAATTAACAAGTTAGTCCGTTAATTTAACATATTTTTGCAAAAATGAATAAGAGATATTTTAAATTCGAATAAAACTGAATTTGTTATTTATTATAGAACAGTGTAAAGTTTCAAAATGAATATCTACTATGATAATGTTAGAATATTGCAAAAGACGTGTTTTAAGTATCTCGGACCTCATCTTGATGTAAACTTGTCATTCCACATTATGATCGATATTCAATTGATTAAGCTATGAGAAAGGTACATAATATTTTCCTTCATTTCTCAGATTAAAAATTAAATTCTTCAAAATATATACGTATGGTTACATTTCTACATATTATCAACACTTAAACATATCTCATACATCTTCTTTTTTTTATCACAAATGCCTTAGGATGATCTATTACTTATTTCAATTAGTCAAAGTTTCTCTTTCGAAAGGACGAATATCTATTTTTGGAAGTACAGACACATAACGTCCAACAGAAGACATAAACTGCCACTTTCATTTATTTACATTCAAAGATTTTCATTATCTTTGGATAGTTCATTCATCACTGCTGTAGGCATTTACATTCTTTCTGATCAGTTTATTATATTTTTGAATCTCTGTGAGTTCTTAGCGAAAGACATAGATGGATAAGCCATAAGACTTCAAAAAAAACGAAAGCCTACCCTAGATTCATGCTTCGTAGATTTAAACACTTAACTCCTGCCATCAGATTTGAGCACATTTCGCTGCCTATAGCAACAAGAATATATATATATTATTTTGTGATAAGATGATCAATGCTACTTGGTGAAATTCGTTATAATAATGAAATAAAATCTTACTTGTTATTAATTGTTGATCTTTATCATAATTATCAAATAAAATTTGTGCTACAATTCTACATCTATCTCTAGCTGTTGTTTGTTCAAACGTAATAATTTCTTGATTTATTAAAACATTACTATTTTGTTGTCCTCCTTCAACAATTTTTTGTTTAATTTTTTGTAAACGTTTAATTTCTGTATTTAATGTATGAAAATCAATTTCAAATAATTCAATTATTGAATCCATATCATGAAAACGTGAAATGATTTGTAAAAGTTGTGCTGATATTGTTAAACGATGATTTTTTGGACATTGTTGTAAACCAAGCCAAATCAATGATGGCAATATTAAACGTATTTGTTCATCAGTTAGATTATTAGCTATATCAATCGGTTTAGATGAACTTAATAAACGTACGAGATTAATATCATCAAACATTTCTTTTCTTTTTTTTTTTTGTTTTTTGTAAATTTATATCTGAATATAGAAAACAAAAAATGATTTGATGATATTCATCTTGTGATTATTTTCCAAAAGAAATTCTTCAATTCTTTATTTTATTTTTTTTTCTTTTATTTATATACAAAGAGAGTAAATACGAGGATAAATTCATGTTTTTCTTTTTCTTGCAGAAGCTACTTGAATGTGCGGAAGGGGGGCAGGGTTCTTTTAACAATATATAAATGACAAAAACAAAAAAAAAAAACAAAAGCAAAACACAAGTGATACATAACAACTGTTTAGGTTCAAGATTAACAGATAGACAGACACACACAGAAAAGAGAATGTTTCAATGATGTTGTCAGAAAAATTTTATTTTAAACAAACATACGACGTGCACCACCACGACCAATTGGCTACAAAATGAATTTATTTTAAATTAATAAATTTTCTTTTTTTACCGAATACTTACTTTTCGGGCATTAGTTAATCTACAAAACAAAAATATTTTTTTCAATGAAAAGTTTTTTATTTTTGTTTAATCTACCTTTTTCGTACAGGAATACCACCAACTTTAGCTCGTGTTATAATATTTCTCTAAATGAAACAAATATTTATTATTACTTTTTTTATTGTAATGAAATTTTTACAAATTTTGGTGGTTGTTGAAGAAATCTTTGTCGTTGTTGTTTTATTCTTGGTAATGTTGCAAGTGTTTTCGTTGCACGATTTAATGCACGTTGTGCAGCAACCATACGTCGTCGAAGTGCACTAACATTTGGATTTGTATGAATCTTATTGAATATACTACCTATTTTAATATTAATTTCATTAAAAAAGAAACAAATCATTGATTGTATATTGACCTTGTTGTTTTCGTAGAGTTGGGTGATTTTGTTGTTGTTGTTGTTTCGATGTTGCTGGATTGTCATCACGACTCAATGGATTGTACTGAATGGAACGAACGAGAAACCAATCAAGACGAAGTTCAATGCTGCCGTCCTCTATCCATAGATTTTCTACTTATCATCATCATATTATAGTACCACTCGTACCCAGGGAAACGTGGCAAGTATATATATATATATATATATACATTATTGTAAATGAAATATATAGATATTTGTTGAATCAACTCGGTTATATATATATATGTATGTATTTTCAATTAAAAGAAAGGATCGGATGTTAGACGGCAGCTAAAGTATAGTAGTTGTTGATTAAATGATTTACCGTTGCAGTAGGTTTATCACCACCTATATTTCGACGATTAAAACCTGGAATTGTATTTCCTCTACCACGTTGTTGACGAAAACTAAAAACAAAAATAAATTTTTTTTAGTGTGAAAGATTTTTTTTTTTGTATTCATACTTGTTCGAACGATTATTATTTCGTTGATTAAATGAATTACGACCACCACCACCACGTCGAAAATTACCACGGCCACGATTATTATTAGTATTATTTTTACTAATACGACCACCACCACGACGTTGATTTATATTTCCTCCACGACCTCGACCACGACGATTTCCTCCTGGACCATTACGACTTTTTTTTATAATATCGTCTAAAAGAATAATTCATACAAAACATATATATATATGAAATGTGTTTTTTGTTTTTGTTAATCTTACCTAAGGTCATATCAATTTTAGCATCAGCCATTTTTATTGGTCAATAATAATGTATAATAATCTTGTAAATAGAAAAGAATTCACTGAATGTTATTGTTGTCAAGGTTTTTTTTTTTGTATATTTGTATGATTGAATAGTAAGAATATAAGAGGGAGAAAAATATAGACGACGAATATATAATAAAAAAAAAGCACCCTAACTTTTCCGTCAAAAGAAAGAATGAATGATTATATATATATATATATATATATCGACTGACTGACTAACATTATGCTTTGATCTTTGTTGAGGTCGTATGCCACATATGGAACCAATAAGAATGAATTTAGAAAAATTATTTTTAAAAATATTATAGATAATATTTTTTAATTAATAAAAAAATATTTAAAAACTTTTTTGTAATATTTATATGCATATCAAAAGAGTATAATGGCATCTAACGCCATCTTTTGAATGTTTTTCTTACACTATTATATTATATGTATGCAAGAAAAAAACTATTATATATTATTAAGACCAAGGCCATGACTTGATATAATAAACATTATTTTAAAGGATGATAGTTAATAACAAATAGAAATGATTAATCATTTTATAAATCAATATGATACTTGTCTTTTTTTTTATATCACTGTGACGCGTATTTCTTATATTTTCCTTGTTTGAGTGCTTACCAATAGGGTTTTGATTGATTTTATTTACGTAGTTATAATACATTGATTTTAATAATTGAATGTTGGCTATCACATGACATGACCAAAACAAAAACAAGTGTACTTACTCGTAGATGCTCTATTAGCTTATTAACTGATGATCCTTTGTCAAAAGAAACTATACATTATATTAAGAATACAAAGAAGAAATATATAAATTTAGTTCGGTGATCTGTTACATGATACAATCTATAATATCTTGTAGCAAAAAGCGAAGTATGATGATCAAATAATCAAAAATTCATTTCAGGAAAACTGATTAAACAAAATATTCTTCAACAGAAGTATCGTTATTTTCACTTTTATAGAACTAAATTTAAACACGTAAGAAGTGTCAATCAATAAATAAATATGTTTATCGCAGATCTTCACAGGCAAAAAAAAGATAGAAAATATTACTTCCACATTAGATAATTTTTGACGATCTATACTGAATATTTCTTAATGGTTTTATTTATCATTCTCAATTCCAAACTGTTAATTTATATACAAGTGAAAAATCAGTTCAATCATAATTGAGCAATTTATTGTACTTGAGGATTTAGATCACAGAAATGGAAAATGATATTGATTTACTAAAAGAATTCGCTATTAATAAAAACTCATCTATAGATGATAGACCAAGCATTCAAGTATGTGTACGTTGCGTTCCATGGATTATTTAAAACACTTTTTTTCAACGATTAGGATGGTAGGCATGGGCACTAGCAAATACATATCATTCATTATTTCTAATGACTATCTCTATTCACTGCATATTTCAATGTTTCATAGAATTGACTATATTATTTTTTTGTTGACTACAAGATAGGAGAGTCCTCTATTGATTCAAGCACTTATTGATTTATGTATGAGTCAAAAGTTTTTTTGCTCTGTCAGCTATGAAGTTTAAGTGAAAATATTATGCATCGTCATATAGATACAATCATGAATATAATTGTATGATTAAACAAATATTCTGTATAAATACGATTCGATTTTCTACGTTTATCAAACAATATCAAATAATGACACGTTACGTTGAAAAAAAAATTCTTAGTATTGAACAAAGTGAAGGTGTTGGTGCACGAGTACGACGATCAATTGGAACTTCACAAGTATGTAAATTAATTTTGAATTTTTTAAATTTTCAAAAGTCAATAATTAATATCAATAATTAATAGGTACGAAATTTTGATCCATTTTTAATGCTCGATGAATTTCGAGTTTCAGCACCAGCTGGTTTTCCTGATCATCCACATCGTGGTTTTGAAACTGTAACATATATGTTAACAGGTGCAACAGAACATGAAGATTTTACTGGACGACGAGGTGTTATAAATCCAGGTGATCTTCAATGGATGACTGCTGGTCGTGGTATTGTTCATTGTGAAATGCCAGAAAAAAATTCTGGTGAAGGTCATGGTCTTCAATTATGGGTTAATCTAAGTAAAAAATATAAAATGATCGAACCTAATTATCAAGAATTACTTGATAAAGATATTCCTCGTGCAGCAACATCTGATGATTTAGTACATGTAAAAATCATGTATGTATTTTAATACAATAAAAAATGTTTTGAATAATTAAACTTTTTTTAGTGCTGGTGAATCAATGTCAACTAAATCACCTGTATATACACGTACACCAACAATGTATCTTGATTTTACACTTAAACCAAAATCATCTATATTTACTCAATCAATACCACAAGGATGGAATGCTTTTGTTTATATTCTTAGTGGACAAGGTGAATTTGGTTCAAAAAAAACAATTGCTGATGCACATCATGTACTTATTTTATCACAAGATGGTAATGGTTTAGATTTTCGTAATACAAGTGATAAAGATGATTGTCGATTTGTTCTTATTGCTGGACAACCACTTAATGAACCTGTTGTTCAACGTGGTCCATTTGTAATGAATACACAAGAAGGTAAATAAAATTATTTAATTTTGAAAAAAAAATTATTTTTTTATTTTATTATTATTCTTCTAGAAATTCAACAAACTATAGAAGATTATCAATATTTTAAAAATGGCTTTGAAAATGCACGTAATTGGCAGAGTGAAGGTATTGAACGAAGTATGGTTCGAGATTAAATAGTTCTTTTTTTTATTGGATGTGTACTTATATTCAGTAAGAAAATTTTGTAGTCACATTTTTTTTTCTACAAATAAAATCATCGCATTTAACAAAAAAAAAAGCGTTTTTAAAAGACGAAGATTACTATGTACTTCCAGAACCGTATGTGACATATCTAATATTTATCTATTGTAAAACAGATTTTATCATTTAAATTTTGTTCATCATAGTTGTTATACTGCTATCGAATTTGCTTATCATATCTTGTATTACTTAGGAAATAACTCGTATGTTAATCCTCTTTCTTTTTATACGTTAATTTATTTTAATTACGCGAAGTGTTATAAACTATGAATAAATTCAGAAAATAATTTAATTATACAATTACAATTCATTAAGATTGTATCAGTGTAATATATATATATATATATACAGCTAATCAGATCAGTCCGACATTTTCATCGACGAACAGTCGAATCACAGTCATATAACTGCTATCATCAGAAACAAGCAAAAACAACTGTTTTTTGCTATTTTTTTTATCAGATGCATCGAATCAATCCATTCAGGTATTTACCGTAAGACGAGATACACCTGTTTCTTATGTTTTCCAAAGCCATGTTCAACCCAGCGATTTTACTATCAATAGTCTAACAACTTGCAAATGAATAAAGAAACCATTTTAGTTGCACACAATAAATACTCATATATTTGTTCAACTGTTTATCAAGGCGATATATAGGGAGCTGCAGGTCCACGTTTTTTGTGGATCCGAATTTCCAGTTTTCTAGCGGCAGACCCAATGAAAATAATTGAATTACTATTTTTCAAGATAGATAACGATTTTTTTGGTACAATACACAGAATACCTGTACAACTGATATTAAGATGTTTCTGAGTGATTGAACTTAATTGTGTATCATTTAGCATCAGGATTTGCAAAAGGAATATATATCAAAATAGTTGTTCTATTTGGTAATTTGATCGTATTTGATTTTATCAAGATCTTTAAATTTGGATACATCTCCTTGCATTACGATTGCATTCTTCTTTTTCTTAAATTGTTTAATTATATTATCAAGTGTTTCCTATCATATATCAGTAATATCAACATAAGAAGTACCTTCAGGTAAGAATTGCTAATCGGTATATTCGCTATTCTTATTGCCATGATTTGTTTTACGACTATGAAACGAAACGAAAAGATGCTGAACTGATTGGGCTTTCGATATACTGTGAAAAGTCTAAACAAGCTCTGTATTAAATGGTATTGTCGAAACCAAATTTATCTTTGTTAGTTGACAAATAAGGACCTAATTAAGAATGGGTCGAGTTTGAGAAAAACTAATCAGAGACTAGTTTTGTGGGCAATCTGTGACAACAGCAATTTTTTCTATCGAGTTCATTTATGATTGATATTTTTTTTTATTTTCTTTGATTGATCATATAAATAAAACTTTACGAAAAGTTCAAACATTTTTTATTTATTGAAACAAAAAAATAATTTTCAATACCCGCCATATTAATTATATTTTGATAATTATTTTTTCTCCATTTAAATCTTGATCTAAACTTTAAACAAAAAGAAAAAAAAAACTTACTAAATGAGACGAAGACCAAACAACAAAGATCAGATTTCTTTATCTTCTAAAACAAATTATATCAACGAAAATAACACTAATAATCTTTATCAAAAGCGTCTTCGTTCATGGAACCGAACATTAACTCGATTAAAATCTAATCATACATCTGTTACATCTTTAATTATGAATAATGATGTTAGACCTCCTTATAAATCGACTATTTATACTTATCCAATCAATATTACTAATAATCGTTCGAATATTTTATCACATACAGTACTTTCAGAAAGTTTAACAACTGAAAGTGCTTTCTATTGTCCATCAATATCATATACTTCTATTCAAACAATAGGTGATTTAAACAATAATCATGTAACAACATTAAATATACAAAATAAAAAAAGACAACATAGTACATTATCATGTGAAAATCTTTCAAGTCAACTTTCACAAATTAAAACATTCGATATATTACCCGATCCGAATTATGAAAAACATATAAATATTAATCAATCATCTATCAATAATAATCTACAATTAACACGTAAATTTTTATTTCATACAATCAAAGAATAAGTGTGAAAATAAGATCATTTTTTATACTCAAGATATTAACTACATTTCGAAATTAGCATTAAACCCAAAAAACTACTTTCATTTTTCACCTGTGAGAATCCTAGGATCGTCGAAATAAAGTTTTTTTCGTCACACATATCACTCCTATTAGAAAATCTAAAACACATTCAGTCTCGTACAAAATTACATTTACAACCACAACCATGCAAAAAACAAAATTTTTCATGCTCTATCCGAATATGAAATCAAAGAGGATATAAGTCGAGTTCCCAGTCTTCAGAGATCTTCTGAACAAGCAAGTCCAGATCTTAACATGCTTTGAGCTTTTCTAGAATGTCATCATTTTAGAGAATTTCAAAGCATGTTAAGATCTGAGTTTGATTTTTCAAAGGATCTCGAGAGTCGTGATGCACGACTTTTTCTCTTATTTTGATTTCATACTCAAATAGAGCATTGATTTATGTTTTTCACTCATTAGTTAAAGATTTCGACATCCTACAACATTACGTCAAGGACATCAAAACTCTTGCTGGTGTTGCAAACGACTGAATGTATTTCAGACTTTTTAATAGGAATAACATTGTTGAAAGTTTAAAATCATAGTTTTTGTTTTGTTTTTTTTTTTTACAATATTTCCAGACTATCAAAGTCCAACAAAACGATCACGATTATCTATTGATGATTCTATCATTACAAATCATCATTCGTTAAATTCTCCAATATTTATCGATGATGATTCTACTATTGATATCAATCAACAATTAGATCAACAAGAATCATTATCATTATCTATGAATAATGATATGTTAATAACTAATTCAAATTCAATGGAAACTGCTATTAAAATGATTCAACCAATTGTTGATATTATTTTTAATGCTTTTGAAGATCAATTAAAAAATATTCAAACAAAAACTATTGAATCATCAATTTCAAATTATTCATCAATAAGTTCATTAGAAAAAATTTCACCACATCATTTTTATCCTTCTATTATGATTCCACATGTTTCATTAAAATTATCTAATCGTCCTATTATATTACATGCAGTTAATATTAATATTCAATTGACAACAAAACAATATACAACAAATACAATAGTAAATGAAAATCATCATTTACAATCAATTTCATTAAATGAACTTAAACAAAAACTAATATCATACATTTTATCAAACAATTTAATATCTAATCATAAAACAAATAATAATTATCAGAGAAAAAGACTTAAACTAAAACGAATTCTTCAATTAGCTGTTTTTGGTGTTAGTGTATTATGTGGTTATTTGCTCTTGTAATAATATGAAATCAAACATAAATTTATCCAAATGACTTCTTGTATGTTTTTGACAAAATATATAAATCAATCAAATCTTATTATCTCATTATGAGAATTGCATATTTTATTCAATAATCATTTTATGATCAATTCTTGTGAGATGTTTCTTTCTTTTCTTTTTTTTTTACTTAAACGAATACAAACATACAAGACACACTGTTCTTCAAACAATAAAAAAAAAAAAAAAAGATAGCAACCATTGAAATTATAGCGATATATTTTTTTTTGTTTATATATATAAAAACAACAAAACACAAATGACTAAAATCATAATATATGAATAATTATTTTTAAAAAAATCTTTTTGTCTTGCAAATTAATAGAATAAATGGTAAAAATGTTCGTGTCCATAATGTATAAAGTATTGTACGAATATGTGTTGTATGAAATACAAGACGTATTGATAAACAATAAAGATCTCGATTGAAATTATCATCCTAAATAAACAAACAAAAAAATTAAAAAATAATTAAAAGAAAAATATTTTACACTTACTTGACAATATTTTTTATCAACTTGATCAGCAACAAGACGAAGTGAATGTGCAATTTCTTTACATATTAATTTCATTTCATTATTGGACTTGATTATATCATTACATCGATTATGACAATCATTAACAACATCAGGTAAATTATGTACAATATCCGAAGATGTTGAATGAACTTTTTGTTTTGTATTTATTGTTGTAGAACGACGTAAATGATATCGTTTAGATATATGAGGATTTGTAATAAAAGTATATGGAAGTATGATTGTATTAGCCATATCCGTGATATATAGCGGCCTCACGTATAGATGGTGTTATATGTCAATATGTCGTTTGTACGTGAATAATAAGGAAAAAGGAAAAGTGTCCGATAAGCAATCGTGTTTTTGATAGAATGAATGATTAAGGGTCACTACTCTATATTTATGTTTGTCAATGGCGAGAGAAACAATCTATAATTATGTTCTCTTTCCTTTTTTTTCTCGTTCTCTGTTCATTTAATATGATATTGAACATTAGAAAGAGCGAGAGAGAAGTCGTCGTCTCTCTCTCTCTCTCTCTTTCGTGTACAATTCACTTTTCGTTTCTTTCCTTCCTGTGTTGCCATAAGGTCAAGCTTTCGCATGTATGTGTCGTCTGGCAACAGAAAAGTTATACCTTTTCTTTTCTTATAATTATTCTTGGCATCAATTCAACTTGACCGCTACTTGCTCTCTCTCTTTGTCTTGATGTCGCTGTTCGTATGTGAGTACTCGTGTCCTTTTTTTTTCTTTTCTTTCCTTTTAGAATACATTTCATTCATTCATGATGAGTAATCAAAGATTAAAAAATGAATAAAGACAATTGATTTTTTTTTAATTTTTATTTGTCATGTTCTTCTAAGAACGCTTACAAATCGGATGAGATATCAAAAGAAAAACATTGTCTTTCAATACATTGATGAAAATCATTCTGCTACATTTCAATTTTCGTCCTATGACTATTGATTGATTTCTCTTGTGGGAAAGATATTTGTTTTTCATGCCTGGAAAAAAAAACTTGACATGTGAATATGTGATGATTTCTAGTTCATGTCATGTACAAGTGTTGTACTCTTATAAACATAAGTGATGTGACAAAATACAATACTATTATGTAATCATTGTTTAAGAATGATAAATAAAGCGAAGAGTATTCTCTATTAAGTAAAACAAAACATTTAGTTATTGTGTATGTTAATTTTGACAATGATGAATAAAGAGAGATAATTGAGTGTTAAATAGAATGTATCAAGGGAGGAACATATGTTGATTAAGTGAATAGAATGGTATTTTAATTAAGAATCTATATTGATAATTGATGATACTAAAAAAACTGTTCGGTTAAATATAAAAAAAGTAACGATGAAATATGTTTATACATTGGATTATTATTTCTTTTTTTTTATTCTTCTATTAAATATCAAAGTAATGTTTAGATATTTTATTAACTTATTGATTGACCCACTTCTTCTTTTGAGAAACAATTAAATTATTGTTGATTTTATCTCTTTCTTTTTGTCTATCAAAGATGTTATCGAAAACAAAAATTCGATGTGCAGGTGCAAACAATAAATAAAATTATTCAAGTGATGACACGTGTCTATATGACATTTATTGTTCTCATGATCATTTTTTTTTAGTTTAGTATGAAAAAAAAAAGTAAATATAATCGATCATTTCGATATAAAATTGAATTAATTATCTGATGGCCTGAAAAAGGATTAACTATATGTATTTATACCTCTCTATATTTTTAATTTACACGCGATATGACAATCGATCATATTGATAGGCGGAGTAATTGTTTAACATATACATGTGAAATAGATCCTATTTATAAAAATTGAATACTTTGTTTTTCCTGCAAGAAACTATATACATTGTATATCGTTTAAGTGAATGAATGGATAACAATACGGTACACATTCGCATGAATGAATATGAATGGATAGATCATGTGGTGTCAAACAATGAGTTATTCATTGAATAGACAATAAAAAAAAAGACTTTTTGTATGTGTGTGTCTATATATCTTTGTTCTCATTGATTTTTGTAAAAAGTGATCAATTCAGACAAATGTTCTTTTATATCGAATAGAGCTACTTATCAGAATAGAATGTCTCAATTGACCAAGATTTTTTTATTTGATGTTCTACCGCTGCGTTAATTTTATATACCTGTCAATGTTTGTAAACTGCCACGCGTCCTAATTTCTTTTTCTTTTTTTTTTTTTTTTGTGATGTGTTTAGTTTCAAAGAGATGATGACTAGACATACTATCCGTTGGGGAGTAATAGAAGTTGTATGTATTCATTAACAAACAATAAATTAATGTAAAGTAGAACAAAAAAGAAAAGGTAGATTGATCGAATAATAAAAAAGAAAAAGAATAACAATAATATACATTAGTCACTCGATTATGTTTTCAATAAAAGTTTATCTAATGGCATTTTAATATCAGTTATTTTCCAATCTACATGATATTGGCGTCGACTGCAGGTGCTCGTAAATTGTCATAATGAACTTTTCTTCTATTATTATTATTATCTATTTCTTTGTTTGTTTTTATGTTGTAAACAGCATGTCATAGGCGTCATTGTGTCTACATGAGAAAAGCCACATGCACATTTAACAAGCATATAGAAATTCAAGGATAAACAGACAAGATATTTTATTATATGAGTAGTTGTGATAATATAAAAGAAAAATTTCTTTCCATTTGAAGAGATTTCAATATACAAATAAATTGACCGTTCTTTTTATCTCATATAATTTAACAAATGAAAATTCTAATTAGCTGTTTTTTTTTTTCATATTTATATTATATATGTATGCCCATCATCATGTATTTTATGTCGATATGTGTATTCAAGGTATTTTTTTTTTTTGTTTCTTGAATGTGATCAATTGAAAGACAAGTCGGTAAGATCAAAAAAGAAAATACATGGATGAGTTCAATGTTGATTTTACTACTAGAAAAATAATACTTAATTGCTAAGTAGAAAAGAAATCAAAAGAAAAGTACAGTTGTCAGATGTGTCAAGCACGCGCCATTTATTACTATGTAGGTGTCAGACTGAACTCAGCATGTCAATGTCTGGTAGTCATTCATACGATTTAAAAACGGGGATAAAATATCACCGATATGTACTTCCGATTTTCTTTTTTTTTCATGTCTCATGAGACTAATCGATGATGATGATCAGAAAGATCGACCAAGCAAAGTGTCAAATGCAATGAACTTATTATATTATAGATCAAAGAAATGGTACACATCCTCTTTTGAGAATTGATGCTATTTGCTTCTCCTCCCCTTAATTGTTATCCATCAATGAATACTTTGATTTTTTTTTATAGCCATAAGCAAAAAAAAAAAAAAAAAAGACATCACACACAAGTCTCTCTTCGTATCAATTGATTTTGTCTATGTATGTATGTATGTACGAGTAGTAACACATGTGTCACATTATCAATGATAAGATTATGGATACTGTATTTTATCACATTACAAGAAGTACCGATGCAGAAGTAATACATAAGACAAATATGCCTATCACAAGCACATTAATAATTATATCGATGATTTTTTATAGAGGAAATTTTCACCTGTAAAATCAATATGATTATTTTTCTTTTTTGTGTGTGTGTGTTGTGAATGTGTTTTTTTTTTGATTCAGAATAAATATCAAATGATGAAAGAAAAAATGAAACCTTTTCTTTTTTAAAAAATACGTTTCCATGGAGCACCGATCAATACAAAACAAGTGAATATTTATGATCAAACAGGTGCATTAGGTTCTATTGTATTAGATCTTGGATCATATTCTGGTGGTGCACTTGGATTAAATGATGTTTCAATACCAAAATCATTTGGATGTGCAGTAACAAAATTATAAGGTGGTGGTATTGTATGTTTTCCTAATGAATCTTTACTTATTGTTTCATAATCTGGTAAATCTGCATTATTCATTTCAAAAACAGGATTATTATTATTAATTGATATAGGACTTGATGAAATAACTAGGTTTTATTAAAATATCTAATATAATATGAAGTTTAAACTGAATAAAATTATATTTACCTCGAGATTGTCTTCGAAAAGGACATTTACATCCAGCACCACAAAGTTTAAGAAATGGTCGCAAACATACTAAACAAATTGCTATAAGACAAAGAGAAACAATAACAACAACAGGTATTGCTCTAAAAAAATAATATAATAATGATTTTAATATAATCAAAAAGCTTAGTTTTTTTTTTTTCGAATTCTTACAATCTCCATGATAATATACTAGTACAACATGCCATATGTGGAGAAGTAGCCGTACCGGGACAACAAACACCATTACAACTTAAAAGTAAAATTATATATTATATTTTTTAAATAAATTTTATTCTATATTATGAACTAACTTAATGGAAACAAGTGTTGATTGATTACGATAATAACATATGTCATCAGCTTGAATCTGTTTAATATAAAAAAGAAAATAACAAGAATTCAAAAGATCGAATTTTGTTTGTTTTTTTTATTTTATACTAACTTGTTGTATCAAGAGAATATATAAACCGAGACCAATTTCTATTAGCATTTTTGTTTTCTGTCAATTATTATGCACGGTTGATTGAAATAGTATTAGTTTGTTTTCGAAATTTTTTGAAGAAACAGAAGAAAAAAAGAAAGTGTCTTTTTTTTACAATTCTCATGGTTTCTCATTCTATCATTTTTTTTTCCTTCCGAAGCAAAAAATAAACAATGACATTTTGAATTTTTTCTTGTGCCGTTGAAATTGAGATTCTTTTTTTTTTTTTCTTTCTTACTGTTAACTTTTTAAATGTAGCTGAAGGATGTAAAGAGAAAAAAAAATAGAAGAAAATTTTTCTTTCTATTATGTCTATTTCTATATAAAATAAAATCTATGTATGAAAAAAAAAAGACAAAGAAACAAATATATTGATCAATAATGGAAATATGTCCAATAATATATCTATAGTTATGAAAGATCACAAATAAAATAAAAAAAAAGCAAACTTTTAAATATGTACTGAAAGTTCATTTTAATCTAGCATGTCGAACATTTATTATTAAACTACAAATTATTAAAAAAAAAAAGACATTCATTCGGAAAATTGTTAATGTTTTCCTTAATTAAAGTAACATGATGTTGACAATATTCATTGAATTTTTGATTGAAGGATTCATAAAAATCGTTCCAAAATACAAGCCTGAAGTTTTTTAATATTAATAATTGCTATAGAAAATTTTATGTTGAAAAAATGTTGTACCTAATTCAATCAATTTTTCTTTCTCGAAGAAAAAAAAAAATATTGATCACAGTTTAGGTTCTAATTTAATTTTCTATTCAATAGAAATATAAGAAAAACTTAATTTAAAATTAGTAAATATTGAAGTAGAACGAGATTTATCAACATTTCACATTCCACATTAATAAAGTGATATGAATAAATTCTAGAACAGTTTTTTCTATAGGAACCAAAAAAAAAAGAAACTTGGCTTCGCACATCCCGTTCCAAATTTATTCATACTTTGCGCTCAGAAGGTAACCGTTTATGGTTAGTATAGCGCATATTGTGTATCGAACGATCTATCGATGATTTGAATCGTATGGTATGAGAAAATTAATTTTTTCGATTATGAGAATTATTTTTATTTGTTATATCTGTAAAAAATAAAAATTCTGATTAACATTTTTATTTTCACCGTATTTTGATATTTCCATCAAGCTTTTCTATCACTCGGAAGATTGTCACAATATATACAACTTATAAATTCATATAGTTTGTTATTTAATTTGATTAAATATAATTGATATTATTATTGTTTCATTCTTTACAGATGATAACTGAAATTATTCGTTAGTATTATTATTATTATTATTATCATTATTTTTTGTTTTTGATATTAAATCATAGGATGGTGGTGATTCTTCAACAATAAATGGTTTATGATAAGGATTAAAATAAATTGTCGATGCAGGTGCTTGATTATAATCAGTAGGTTCTAATTGAACAAAACAAAAAAAAAATTCTTTTTTTTTAATATAAAAATTTATTTACTTATTGATAAATTTGTTATATTTCGTTGAGATTGTCTCTTATTATATCGATAAACACAACATATGATTATACATACTATAAGAGTCAAAATAATTGGCATAAGAATAACCAAAGCTCTAAAAATTTAAATTAAGTTTATTTTTATTATGATAATTTTTCAAATCAAAGATATTGAAATCTTACATTAATATATATGAATCATTATCCAAAACTGGATGTCTCAAAGGTGGTCGATTATTATCATTGAATCGTTCGACTGGTGGTGGATTTCGATGAATAGATAGTGATCGTATATATTTTTTCGAATCATTTGAAAACCATTCAATAAAAACATTTTGTCGTATACCTTGCATATTCGTATTTCTCTATTCGATCTTAGTAAGCACTTATTCAGTGTTATAAGGTCGAATAAATGAATAGTTATGAGAGAAAAAAAAAATCATGATCTATTACCCTCTATTCAAGATTGGTCTCTCCGTCGATTTTTTTTTCTTCTTTACAATATATTGAGACGCAAACATATACGTGTAAACCTATATATTTTTTTTTAATATATACATCGAGTTGTATTTTTATTGACAAAACAACAATATTATTTCTTTAAAATAAATAGAATATTGTCATTTATTTGATATGAAAAAATAAAAGTGAATGATGTTTTTTATTTTAAGATTTATCATTTTAATTGATAAAAATAATGATTTTTATTAAATTGTGATCATCTAGATAAATTTTTATTCAATCAAAATAATCTTTATTATTGAAAATTTTAATAATATAATATATGTAAAAAAAAAACAGTTCTTAGAAATTTTCCAATCGATATATTTTCACAGCAACTTACGTGATTGGAATAAATTAAATAGTCATTTTAAAAGTATACTTATTGTGCAAAACTAAACGTTCTAGCTTACACAAAATAAGAGAGATATTCATGTGAGAATATTATTAAACATTTTTTTTATACACACAAATAAAAAAATAGACAGACCGAACACTAATGAATTCTATGTGACAAATTCGATGAGCAAAATGCCCTGATTATTCAACATTAAAGAATTGGGTATTTTGAGAACCAAAAATCGCATATAACAAATTTCTTTTATGAACTCTAAGATATATCGATTGAAAAATTTCTGAAAACTTTTTTTCCCCTCATACTTTATATTGTCATTGAAAAACATACGGAAAAGACTAGAATATATTTTAATATTTTCTGTAGAAATTCAATTTTGAAGAAAATATAAGAAGGACAAATTGATACAATATATTAAGTAGTAAATCGAATAAATCTAAAGTATATTCATATTTTTTCTTTTCGTTCTTTCGAATTTATACAAAAAAAAAAAACCTATTGAAAAATTATTCAGTTATAAGAAAAGAATATTTCTATTTTGCATAAATATTTTTTTTGCTTTTTCAATATAAAAATATTAATAAAATTGTTGATTCAGAAAATTCCGAGACATCATAATCATGTCGTAGAAGATATTAAAAAAATAACCATTATATATCTGATTTATTATTATGTCGATGAATTTATTCTTAGTCAATGTTATATAGTTACTAGTCTCTTTTATTGTTATTTTTGTATAGAAATACAGTTCATATAGTGTACACAAAAGAAATCAAAACAATAATCTTGATTGTAACGAATTCGTGCAAGGAATTATTGTATAAGATAACTTTTTCATTTCAAACTGAATTTTGGAAAAAATCACGCTTATTCTTTATCAATGGTCTAGCAAAATAAACCTGTTTATCGACAGAAGTCTGGAGGAGAGGATCTTTCTATACATAAAGAGATGTCAGACATTTCACTCATTCCTTTATTTACCTAATAAGACATTTCGAGTAAGTCATTACGACACATACATATACAGACTTTTCATGCTCTCTAGTTTTTTGATAATACGTCTATTAAGTCGTAAGAATTATCGATAATTATATATAGTTGAATGCTCTATTTTGTTTTGACAGGGGATCTTTAGAATAAGTTATTACTCTATATATTATACACCTGTGATAGACGCACCATCGAAAAAAAGAAAGGTTTACAGGTATACAATATATATAAATGAAGAGTTCTAAAGACCCCTCCCCCCCCTGGTCTCTTATTTCTATTTGAAATCGAGTGTTTATTTTTCTCTCTATAGTCAGATTGAAAGCAAATAGTTCATTGTATGTAAGATTTGGTCATGAAAGAAATTTTACGATACAATAAGAAGTAACTTGTATAATGGAGAAGACTCTATTCAAATTGAAAATATTTTAGATGACATCAATAGACATGTGCGAAACTGGAATTCTAGACTATCTGATATCTTTAACTCTGTGACTTTTCCAATGAAGTTTTTCGTACATCATAAATCAGTTTATTATTTTCATGCTAATATCTTGTAATACAGAAAAAACTGTATCATGATAAATAAGACGACATAAATATAGAAAAAAAAAACAAACTCCATCGTGATAAATAAGATGACATAAATACAGATAAAAGATGTAAATATTAAATCATAACAAATTACAATCATATACACGTCTATATAAAAACACATAAACAATTTTGTTATTATGAATACTAAAATATATCTTTGTCATCGTCTAATTGCATTTATTTATCTTGTTCACTGGACATTAGTTTCATCATCTTTAGGCAATCATTCTTTTTTCATTTATAATAAATTCTTTGATAATACATGTTTACTTGAAATAAACGATTAAGAAGCTGTCTCTTTTGATTTTATTCACAAAATCATTTCAAATAAGAAGGAGCAGTCTCGGTCACCGGAGACCAGGAATATATTAGATTCACTACGACTACGATCGGGACTGCTCAACAAGAAGCTATCGAAACTGTGCTAAGATTGGAAACAAAAAATTTGGTCACGCACATATTTATTCATGAGATGGATATACTTATGATTTTTGTTTTAAACATAAGAAAAAAAAAACTTTTTTGCTAATGAAAGAAATTAATGGATCTTTTTTTTCACTTGTAATGTCTAGTATACATATACAAAATTCTAATTTAAATCACACTTCTATTTCAGAATTATTCCAAGTTAGAACTCTTTTGATAAAGAATTATTTGCAAGATCAAGGTTTTTTTTTCGCTCTAGATGACACGATAGTTTTTATTATACGTGTTTGTAGAAGAGTGTTTTCTTTATAAAACATTTAGTTTTTGAAATCAGAGTCGCTGAAATCTATGAATAGAAAAATAAATTCAATTTTCATGAAAAACAGAATTATAATTGAAAACAACTACCAACTATTCTACATTCAGGTGGATATCGTTCTCTTTCGCATGATATATATTATAATTAGGCTTGATCAACTTGTTTTTTTTTGTTTTTGATGAGTTATAAATCCAGATTGCTATTCTCATATTGTCAACTAACTTTTATCGCGAATATGCATTGTTGAAAAAACTACTTATGATAATAAAAAAAAATGCTTCTGATTTCAAAATCTAAGTATTTTGTAAAGAAAACAATCTTCTACAAAT